TGTCATTAGGTATGGGAATGAAATCATGCGGACCCATTGTCAGATGCGACACTGGTGCATCCATTGAGATCTGATGTATTTTTCAAAGTGTTCCTTTACTTTTTTTAATCAGTGTATTTGTGCTGGAGAACACAGTATTTGTGCTAGGAGCGGGAGGGGGAGGTGGATTACTGGTAGGAGGAGGAGTTTGGGGGGGTGATATGTGGTAGGAGGGGGACTGGGGGGATTTGTGCTGGGGTATTTGTGCTGGAGGGGATTTGTGCTGGAAGAGGGTGTAGAAAGGGAAATTTTTGCTAGGAGAGGGGGATTGGTGAAAGGATGAATGCAGGAAGGAAGAATGCGGGGGAATTTGTTTTAGAAGAAAAAAAATTGGGAACACGGAGGTGGATTTGTGCTGTGGGGAGATTGGGGGGCAGAGCTAAGAGGGGAGATTTGTTCTGGGAGGTGGGCTTCCTTGAAGGGCCTTGTGGTGTTAGAAGGGGTGATTTGAGAGGGGAGCATTTGTGCTAGAAGGGAAACTTTGGGGGGGATGTGTGTTAGGAAGGGTAATTTGACGGGGAGGATTTGTGCTAGTAGGGATGACAGGGGGAATGTGTGCTGGAGGGGGTTTGGGGGATTTGTGCTGGAAGAGAGGAAGGGGGACTTGTGCTGGAAAGAATGATGAGGGACGATTTGTGCTGGGAGGGGTAATTCTGGGGGTGGTGGGGGGTAAGGTTTGTTCTAGGAGGGGGAATTTTTTGGGGGGGAGGATTTGTGCTAGGGATGATTTGGGGTGTTTGCTAGGAAGGGTAATTTAGGGGATTTTTGCTAGGAGGGGGAATCTGGGGGGAGGATTTATGCTAGTAGGGATGATTGAGGGGGATTGTTGGAGTAGAGGATTTTTGCTAGGAGGGGGGAATTCGGGGAAGGAGATGATTTGAGCTGGTTGGGGGGTTGGGAGGCATAGATTTATGCAAGGTTGTGGATTGCAGTGAAGGGGTAGAATTTGTACTGGGACAGGGGGCATTTTTTGTTTTGGAGAATTTGGCTTTCAAAGAGAATGTATGCTTAGGGGTTAAGAGTGCAGATTTGGGCTCAAATTATTGAGGGGTTGGGGGGTGATTTTTGCTGACACACAATTCCCATACATCTTGGGGGGATGCCATTTGGAATCTTTGTCCTGGGTTCTAGATGGCCTTGTCCCTGCACGGCCCAATGCCTACTTACTCTATCTCCACATCAGCCTTTAACGTACCTACAACTGCTCACTCTGAGGCTGCTGTAAAACAATAAGACCCCCCTGATATATACTGTGTTTATCTTTGCTATGTAGAACATACAACTCAGGGCCGGATCTAGCCTGTCCAATGTGGGGGTGCAGTAAAAAAAATGTTGGGGGGCAGAGGATGGGAAATCAGCAGGGCAGCGTACAAGTGTTCAGCAGGGCAAAGGATAGGGTCTGCATTATGTAGGGCAGTGTACAGGAGACAATAGAGCGGAGGACAGGGGTCACTTCTGGCAGGGCAGAAGACAGGGATCCTTGCTGGCCGGGCAGACAATGGGGGTCACTGCTGGCAGGGAAGATGACAGGGGTCACAACTGGTAGGGCAGAAGAACGGGTCCTTGCTGGCAGGGCAGACGAGAGGGGTCACAGCTGGCAGGGCAGATAACAGGGGTCACAGCTGGCAGGGCAGCCGACAGGGGTCACTGCTGGCAGGGCAGCCGACAGGGGTCACTGCTGGCAGGGCAGCCGACAGGGGTCACTGCTGGCGGAGCAGAGGACAGGGGTCACAGCGGGCAGGGCAGACAACAGGGATCACTGCTGACAGGGCAGACCACAGGGGTCACTGCTGACAGGGCAGACCACAGGGATCACTGCTGACAGGGCAGACCACAGGGGTCACTGCTGACAGAGCAGACCACAGGGGTCACTGCTGACAGGGCAGACCACAGGGGTCACTGCTGACAGGGCAGACCACAGGGGTCACTGCTGACAGGGCAGACCACAGGGGTCACTGCTGACAGGGCAGACAACAGGGATCACTGCTGACAGGGCAGACGACAGGGATCACTGCTAGTGGGGTAAAGGACAGGGGTCACTGCTGGCAGGGCAGACGACAGGGGTCACAGCTGGCAGGGCAGACAACAGGGGTCACAGCTGGCAGGGCAGACAACAGGGGTCACAGCTGGCAGGGCAGACAACAGGGGTCACAGCTGGCAGGGCACTGGCAGCAGAGCTCCTCCTTCAGGGGAAGACAGGGGAGTGGAACAGGCAGCCTCCCTCACTCGCTGGGCCCCTTTCTGACCAGATCATCAGTTTATCTGGGCAGTACATTTACGTGAACATTTACAAAGCTGTAAGGAGAGAGCAGCTGTCTTCAGTATGGTTCAACGGACAGGCAGAGTGTTTGGGGTGGAGGGTGGGGCGGTTGACTTTGGGGGCACAACGAAAATCTGAGGGGGGGGGGCATATCCCACCCCAGCATCACCCTTGATCCGGCCATGATACAACTCCTCCAATCTGTGCTTCTAGTGGTCCAATGCAATGCAATGTCCATATAAACCTCATTTGCACAAAATGATCTTTCAGTTTTCTCAAATACGGCACAAGGAATGTATGTAGGCCACAAAACAAAAGAGAAAGAAATTCCGTCCATAGATCTAGTGCAATAAAGGAGTTTATTAGTAATAAAACAATTGAAGCTCATGTAGCACAGACCCCAGGCGGGCCATGCTGTTTGGTCCCAAGTTCCATTTCCTGATATGGATGATATGACAGCCAGGCACACAGTAGTTCACAGTCACTCAAGTCAGCAAACAGGCTATGCATATCTTTTTGCAGTTTATTTGCTGGTTGAACTTGGATAAGGTAGGACTGAGCCTTGGGTGCTCCAACACTAGCAGAAATGTAATTGAGAACACTTGTACCTGATCTGCTCCTTCAAGTTTGGTTCACACCTATGTGTTTTTAGTGTTTTTTGCATTTTGCAGAAACTTTCAAGGTCCTACCTTTCCTCAGAGCTTGTGCTGCTCCATGTGCTGGCATCCATCTTAGGTTTCTGCAAAGCATTGTGGGATCCTTTATGCTTTCAAGCCTCTGCGGCTCCTCCCAGGAGGTGGTGGCTTATCACATTTAAGCCTGCTGTCTGCAGCTGCTCTTTGCATTCGTGTCCTGTCTGTTGAATTGCAACAAGCTCCTGTGAGTGTCTCAGTGCTCTCCTGGATATCGACTCGGTTTTGGCAAGACTCCTTCCTGGCTTCTGACCTCGGCTCTGGCGACCATCCTTCCTGGCTTCTGACCCCGGCTCTGGCGACCATCCTTCCTGGCTTCTGACACCGGCTCTGGTGATCATCCTTCCTGGCTTCTGACTCCGGCTCTGGCGATCATCCTTCCTGGCTTCTGACTCCGGCTCTGGTGATCATCCTTCCTGGCTTCGGACCTTGGCTCTGGCGACCATCCTTCCTGGCTTCTGACCCCGGCTCTGGCGACCATCCTTCCTGGCTTCTGACACCGCTCTGGCGACCATCCTTCCTGGCTTCTGACCTCAGCTCTGGTGATCATCCTTCCTGGCTTCTGACCTTGGCTCTGGCTATCATCCTTCCTGGCTTCTGACCCCAGCTCTGGCGACCATCCTTCCTGGCTACTGTCCTGCCCAGTCATCCGCTGTTGCTGTTGTACTTGCATAGACTCTGTCTTGTTTTTGTACAATAAACCTACCTTTTATTGCACCTCCTTGTGTGTCTGGCTCCTCGCTCCCTGACAGAAACTCACTACAGTCCCTTTATGGTTTCCTATGGGACACGTTCACATCTATGTGCTTTAAGGCGCAGCGTATTGGAAATGGTCCCTCAGCAATACGCATACAGTAGGTGTGATCCAGGCCTTATATGGTGTAACCATCCTTTTGAATTCAGAGTTTTAGGCTCCATGCACACTAATTTATTTTGTAAGCTCCTAGCAGCTGCTTTAACTCCCCTGGCGGTATTTCCCCGAGTGTAGCTCGGGGTTAACTTTCAGTGCCAAAATCGGTGACCCCGAGCTACACTCGGGAATACACTGCAGCGTTGCTCAAAGATTCCCTCGATCACTTACCTTGTCCTGCGCTCCCGCGATGTCCCCCCTGCAGTGTCCCCGGCCATCTCCTCCGGCCGATGCCGGCATCTGTCTTCTGGGTTCTGTTCCCTGCGAGCGTCGGGACGTACGGGGGTGTCAGGGCTCCGGGTATGACCAGAGGTGTGTGGCCTGATACAGGGAAACGCAGGCTTCAGATATAGTATAAACAATATAATTTATTTAAGACTAAACAATACATAAATGCAGTGCAAGACTAAACATAAACACAGTGCAAACAAACTAAACCAAAACCCCCAACAGATAACAAAAGAACAATACTAAGCGTAGTCGGGCTGGCCGGGTAGGTAGCAAACGGGTGGGCAAGGTACCAAAAGGAGCAGACTTGAGAGTGGTCAGGAATAGCAGAGGTCAGGACAGGAGGAGTTCAGAGTCAGGGATAAAGCAGGATCAGACAGGAAGCCAACAGGATGCAGGTACAGGGGCTTTTGGGAAAACATACACCAAGGCCCTGATTACAAGTCTGGCCATTCCTTATATGCACCTCCCGTAATCAGCCTCAGGTGTTTTGGCTGACTGAAGGAGTGAGCCTCTGATTGCTGAGAGCACCCGCTGGCCAGTCCTGGTACTGCAACCCACAAGGCAGCTGAGTCCCACCACTATTGGCGAGTCCACCCCCCCCTCAACGAGCGGCCTCAGGATGCTCCAAACCGTCCTAAATGGGCAAAATGTTCCACCTGCCCGGATCCGGTAATTGGCGGGATATCAAGGACTGGTACATCAGGCTGGGCACCGGGCGGAGGCACATCAGGCTGGGCACCGGACAGAGGCACATCAGGCTGGGCACCGGACAGAGGCACATCAGGCTGGGCACCAGACAGAGGCACATCAGGCTGGGCACCGGACAGAGGCACATCAGGCTGAGCACTGGACAGAGGCACATCAGGCTGGGCACCGGGCCATCAGGCGGAGCAGCGGGGCACCGGTCCACCAGGCGGAGCAGCGGGCACTGGGCCACCAGGCAGAGCAGCAGGTACCGAGTCATCTGGCAAGACTGCAGGCACCGAGTCATCTGGCAAGACAGCGGGCACCGAGTCACCTGGCAAGACAACGGGCACCGAGTCATCTGGCAAAACAGCGGGCATCGGGTCGTCAAGCTCGATAGCGGGCACCAAGTCATCTGGCAAAACAGCGGGCATCTGTCAAGCTCGGCAGCGGGCACCGAGTCATCTGGCAAGACAGCGGGTTCCGAGTCATCTGGCAAGACAGCGGGCGCCGAGTCATCTGGCAAGACTGCGGGCGCCGAGTCATCTGGCAAGACTGCGGGCGCCAAGTCATCTGGCAAGACAGCGGGCATCGGGTCTTCAAGCTCGACAGTGGGCACCTAGTCATCTGGCAAGACTGCGGGCGCCAAGTCATCTGGCAAGACAGCGGGCACCAAGTCATCTGGCAAGACAGTGGGCATCGGGTTGTCAAGCTCGACAGCGGGCACCGAGTCATCTGGCAAGACTGCGGGCGCCGAGTCATCTGGCAAGACTGCGGGCGCCGAGTCATCTGGCAAGACTGCGGGCGCCAAGTCATCTGGCAAGACAGCGGGCATCGGGTCTTCAAGCTCGACAGCGGGCACCGGGTCATCTGGCAAGACTGCGGGCGCCAAGTCATCTGGCAAGACTGCGGGCGCCAAGTCATCTGGCAAGACAGCGGGCACCAAGTCATCTGGCAAGACAGTGGGCATCGGGTTGTCAAGCTCAACAGCGGGCACCGAGTCATCTGGCAAGACAGCGGGCACCGAGTCATCTGGCAAGACTGTGGGCACCGAGTCATCTGGCATGACAGCGGGCATCGGGTCATCTGGCAACAGGTCATCTGGCTCGATCAGTTCATCAGGCTGGGTAGAACTATCAGGCTGGGTAGAACCATCAGGCTGGGTAGAACCATCAGGCATCAGGGTATCAGGCTGAATTGCGGGTGCCGGGGCACCAGGCTGAACCACGGAAGGGGGGTTCTCAGACGGCAGGCTGACCGGTTTGGATACTGGCAGGATGGTACTTGTTGGAAAGAATTTTCGCTTTTTCCTGGTATTAGTTACTGGAGCACAGGAAGTAAGCGCAGGTTTGTAAGTGGATAGAGAAGCTGTAGGCAGAGAAGAGCTGGGGGATGGAACAAAGGAGGGAGCAGTTGCTACAGAGGACTTCTTTACAGGGTTAACGAAAGGATAGGTGCAGCGAGTGGGAGCAGGGGACTGATATGTGGTAGTTCCCAGAGCATACTGGGCAGTCACTGGGGGTGCTGTCGGGGATGCAGGAAGAGTGCCTTGAGCAGAGGAATGATGTTGCAAGCTGACTGAGGCTGGGTGCAACAAGTCTGACCATGTCTGCAGTATGGGTTGAACAAAGCTCAGCTTACACAAAGCCTGTCTGGTCAAAGACTGCACTGCGTTTATACAATCTCTTAGTACCTGTTGTGAACATGCAGAATAACGCTCCAGAAAGTAATCTACATCATCCTCCAATAACCATACCAGGGACTCTACCTGGTCGGCACTAAAAATTCATCCCTGCTTTCGGGGGTACCAGATGAAATCAACTCTGCACAAACCTGAATCAATGGCTGCACCTCAGAGAATTCTGTACCCTGATCTACTAGGCAATGAGCGATCCTTATGCACTCTAGTAGTTGATCCCGGGTATACTCCTGCAGAGTCTGATAGGCATAATCTCTGTCATCAAACACTAGCAGAGACAAATACACCACCTCATCAAGATTCATCCTTCCCAGCAACAATAAGCCAAGATGGCTTCCCTGTGCAGCCACTTCTGGTCAGGATTGGCCTTGGTGTAATGTCAGGGCTGCGGGTATGACCACAGGTGTGTGGACTGACACAGGAAACGCAGGCTTCAGATATGTTATAAACAATATAATTTATTTAAGACTAAACAATACATAAATGCAGTGCAAGACTAAACATAAACACAGTGCAAACAAACCAAACCAAAACCCCCAACAGATAACAAAAGAACAATACTAAGCGTAGTCGGGCAAGCCGGGTCGGTAGCAAACGGGTGGGCAAGGTACCAAAGGAGCAGACTGGAGAGTGGTCAGGAATAGCAGAGGTCAGGACAGGCGGCGTTCAATCAGAGTCAGGGATAAAGCAGGATCAGACAGGAAGCCGACAGGATGCAGGTACAGGGGCTCTTGGGAAAACATACACCAAGGCCCTGATTGCAAGTCTGGCCATTCCTTATATGCACCTCCCGTAATCAGCCTCAGGTGTTTTGGCTGACTGCAGGAGTGAGCCTCTGGTTGCTGAGAGCACTCGCTGGCCAGTCCTGGTACTGCAACCCACAAGGCAGGTGAGTCCCACCACTATTGGCGAGTCCATTCCTGACAGGGGGAATGATCCGGCAGGAAATTGAAAAAATGTAAAAGTGACATTCACTAAATACACTAAAATCTTATAGTATTCCATTACTGTATCAAACCATTTCACATACATTTTGTCCCGAGTGCTTTGTCCGGCGCCCTGCCTGCATTTTTACTGTTCTTTCTGCCTGGAAACTGAGAAACGTCCATGGCGTCCAAAAAGCGTCCATTTAGGTCAAAAGCGGTTTTAGAGAGGCTAGAGAACAGCGATAGTAAATCAGAACCACTTGCAGAATTGAGTGATAATGATTCGTGGGGGAAATTCCTCATCAGACACTGAAAACGATTCTGCGACTGAGCTCAGCGATGTGCGAACTTGGCGCTATATTTCACATTTCAATGTTTTTGGTTTGATTACATTATCAAAGAAAATGTATTATTATATTATTATTTTTTATGATTATTTAATATATTATAATTTATGATTTCATGTTTAAAATTTTATCCTCCCCGGGATGTTTACTAGACTCTTGTTTAGACAGATTTCAGTGAGTTATTCCTAAGAATTACAGGCCTACAATAAAAAAAACAACATATTTCCATGCAAAATAATGTACCGCTTTGAGCACAGAAATACGGACATAATCAGACCGCTAGGGAAGTTAAGTGTTTTTTTTTCTGCCCCTAGGAGCAAATAGTGTTATCCATGAATTATCCATTATTGTCCATGCTCACTATTTTAGGCTAGAAGCGTTTTTCAAGCTTCATCTTTTAGTAGCAGAAAAAAAGGGTTTTTTTTTGCATTCTGTGGGAGTGATTTGTCAGCATAAAAATGCTGACAGCTCCTAGAAGCTCCTCAACCTGTTACCTGCTCCTAAGCACAGGTGCCCAGCAGTTTTTTTTTTCTTATCCAGTGGCAGGCCAGCGTCCTTAACAACCGGTGTATAGCAGGTTGCTAAGAATCAGGCTGGCAAGTTGGCCATCGCGTCCTTGATTCATCAGCTGTTAACGAGTTCCCTGCTGACAGCTGAATGTAAATAAAACAATTTCCAGCAAAAAAAATTGAGGAAAACAAACAGCGTGGGCCTCCCCTTTTGGGTCTGGTACAAATTATAAGAGCATCCTCATACCAAAAATGTAACAAAAATGGCATGGGGTCCCCCCAAATCCATACCAGAACCTGAGGTCTGGTATGGATTTTGAGGGGAACTCCATGCCAAAAATGTTTTTCAAAATTGGCTTAGGGTCCCCACTAAAAACCATACCAGACACTTATACGAGCATGCAGCCTGGCAGGTCAGGAAAGGGGGGGAGCACAACCCCCTCTCCTGAACCATACCCCAAAGTACCTTGTCACCATGTTGATGAGGGAAGGACCTCTTCCCCACAACCCTGGCCCGGTGGATGTGTGGGTTGATTTATCAGAATCTGGAAGCCCCCTTTAACAAGAGGGCCCCCAGTTCCCACCCTCCCCATGTGAATGAGTATGGGGTACATGCTGGGGTGGACTGACCATTCAAGCACTCGGGCATTGCTTTGGGGGCTTTGGGTGGGAGCCCCCTACCCCATAGAACCCCCCCATGTTGAGGTCTATAAATATTTGGTATGCTTTTTGGGGGGACCTCATGGCATTTAATAAAAAATAAATTGGCATGGATTTCCCCTTACAATTCATACCAGAACCAAAAGGCCTGATATGAATTGGGCGGACCCCCACATTGCTCTTTTTTGCATTTTTTATTGCTTGCAATTGTTTAGCTGTATTTGTATTTACTTTTTGAGACTTTTTTGGTAAATGAGCAGGGTACAATATATCCCATACTCATTCACATGGGGGGCCACAACACCGCAACCACCGAGCCAGAGTTGTGGGGAAGGGGCCCTTGTCCTCATCAACATAGAGAAAAGGTGCATTGGGTGGGAGCCCCCTACCCCAAAGAACCCCCCTGTCAGGAACCATCGCGACGCATGGGTCTACACATACGTAGGTGTCTGCCGAGACGTATAGGTGGCAGGGCACTAGGACCCAGGCGCACCAGTCGTCTGGACAGTACTAGGCAGGCACTGGGACCCAGGCTACACCTGTCAGGTGCAGGACAGGCTATTTAAACTAGCCCTGCACAGATGCTTGTTGCCGAATGGTCTTTTGTATCCTGTTGCCTGTGTAGTGAGTACTCTGATCTGGATTGTTTGACCTTGTTGCCTTCTCCTGTCCTTACCCCTTGGCTTGCCTGACTCTGCTCCTGGATGTTCCCTTATAGATCTGATCTTTTGGTATTGACCCTGCGTGTGACCCGACTATCCTTTGCATATCGTCTTGTACCTCACCGACCCGCTAGTTACCGACCCAGCTTGTTTGACTCTGACTTTGCTCATCCATCCATCCATCCCTCAGGGATCCCTAGGCTCCCTCACATCAGACTCTTAATCTGCTGGAGCCCTTGGCAGACTCCTCTACCTCTGGTAGAGATACCTAGCAGCTGCGACCTGGTCCCGGAGCGCTCCAAGTCCATCCCCACCATCAGGGGCCCTGGTGAACAAGTGCTCCGGTACTTAGACTCCGCACTCTGGGGAGGCTCTATCAGGGGACTGATAGAGGTGCTGTCAGGCGGTCCGTTACTCCCCCCATGTTGAGGGCATGTGGCCTGGTATGGTTCAGGAGGGGGCGCTCACTTGTCCTTCCCATTCCTGCATGTTCATATAAGGATTCGGTATGCATTTTGGGGGGGACCTCACGCCATTTAAGAAAAAAATGGCATGGATTTCCCCAAAGGGCCTGGTAAGGATTGGGGTGACCCCACATTTTTTTTTTTAATTTCCAGCAGCTGTTTAGCTTACATTCAGTTGTCAGCAGAGAACCCCCCTGACAGTTGATCAGTCATCCGTTGTTAAGAACGCAGC